CAATTATTATTTTATACATGAATGTTTCTGTTCAATTATTATTTTATAGATGAATGTTTCTGTTCAGCCCTGAGACGACTTCTGTTGTGACTTGGAGCTTTAGAAATAAACTGAACTGTTTTACGATCATTTATGACGTTCACTTCCTATTTCAGGTCATCTCTGGACTGGAACCAACAGTTCCTGCTTCACTAACAGCTGTCGTGAGTCCAAAGGTTCCAGAACCAGACCACAGTGGTTCTGTTCCCCAGGGGAGCGCATACAGGGACATACTGAATTTCATACCATAAACATGCAAATGTGAGCTGGTATGACAATAACAAAACTCCTTGAATCCTTGAATCCAGACCTGAGCGGTGGCCTGGACGGCCTGAGCAGCAGCCATGGTGATGGCACCGGCGCCGGCCCCGGGCCCTGCGGGCAGAGAGCTCAGGTTGTACGAGGCCAGAGGCTGGGAGGAGTTCACGCTGTACACGTTGTTGGTGGACGAAGGCGTGCTGTTGGTCCGGCAGCCTGCGGGCAGACAACGATGGGGGGTCACAGCTGGACACGGAGCATGCTCAGTCAGGAACAGGTGAGCTGCTACCTGGGGTGTTCTCCTTGGAGGCGTCTGATGTGAGCGTCGAGAGCAGAGCTTCAGACTTGAACTTCTTCTCTGGAATGTGCTCCGTGGTGTGGTGGGTCGGAGCGCAGTACTTCCTCTCTGAGGACACAAAGAAGGGTCAGAGGACAATGCTTGAAGACACCCTGCAGAGGGACGGTGGGGAGGTCCAGGCTGATTCTGGACGGGGACTGACCCGTCCTCACCTGCAGGAGTCCAGATGTTTGAAATGTGACCCGTGGGCTGCTGGAAGCAGCAGAACTTACTCTCGGTGTTGGTGTGTGAGTGGACGTGATGGTTGTTGAGCGGCTGAGACGGGCTGTCCATCTCCAAAGACCCTGATGAAGACACAACGATGGATGAACAAATAGAAAACCGGGTCTGGGAGGTTCCGTCAGACTGAGGGACTCACGTCTCTCCAGGATCTCTGTGATGCCGGCGTTGTCAGCCTCCAGCTCCATCTTGAACTTGGCCAGCTCTTGGTCCAGTTTACGCAGGTGTCGGTCCACCTGGGGACAGAACCAACCAACACAAACTCAGGTACCTGGACCGAGAAGAAAAGGGTGATCTCAGGTCCAGTTCCAGGTGTTCTGGACTTCTTGCTGGGGTTGTCACCATTCAGTCAAAGCAGGTTCCAGATGTTATCCCTTACCTGAGCATGTCACCATGGTAACATCATCAAAGGACCTGAAGGTTCTGCAGAACCCACAACTGTGACGTCATATAGTCTGCTCCCATCCAGACATCAGGCTGCCATCTAGTGGTGGTTCTACAGAACCTGCGCAGTCCAGAGGTTCTACAGAACCTGCACAGCCCAGAGGTTCTACAGAACCTGCACAGTCCAGAGGTTCTACAGAACCTGCACAGTCCAGAGGTTCTACAGAACCACCATGTCATGGGTTTCACTCACCAGATCATAAATCTGATTGGCCAGCTGGACCTTCTCGTCTGCATCTTCTAAAGCTTTGTAATAATCCTGAAACAAGTGACCACACTTCTCTGTAAAACATCAGTAGCACCATCAGATGGTACCAAAACCACGACCCGTTAGGGCTTCTGACCTTTTTGATGACCTCCATCTGCTCCTCTCTCCACTCCGGTTTGTTCTTCTTTGCGTTGATGAAAAACTCCGTCACCTTCTGCTCCAGCTGGTCCGTGGCGTCTGAAGGCAGAAAGATGAATCAAGCCAGAGAGTCAGGAATAAAAAAATCTAAACAAAATAAAACGACAAACACCGAACAATGAAGCCCAGACACAGAAACGTGCCCCATACTTTGAGTTTTGGGCTTTAATGTTTTTGTGTGACTTCCTTTCATATCTCAGATGGTTGTGGATGACCTTTGACCTGTCAGCTGAGGCCTGGAGAGTCTGAGATGAAGCTCTTTGCACAGTCTGACCTTCAGGGTGAATCTGCTGCGGACTGTCAGCAGTCTGAAATGTTTGCCACTTGTGATTTTTTGTTCTTTCTGTACAACGGTGGACTCCAAATGACCTTTGACCCTTACCAGATTGATCGGAATCAACAGATGCTTCTCTGAGGTCATTGATTGAGGAGCATTAAGTGTAGAACCACTAGACTGAGGAACAGCTTCTACCCTGAGGCTGTTAGACTCATGAATCTCTAAGCAGAATAATCACTGTGAAAAATCACATCATGTTGCTGCTGATCTCTTTCATGTTGCTGCTGATCTGTTTCATGTTGCTGCTGATCTGTTTCATGTTGCTGCTGATCTGTTTCATGGTACTGCTGATCTGTTTCATGTTGCTGCTGATCTGTTTCATGTTGCTGCTGATCTGTTTCATGTTGCTGCTGATCTGTTTCATGTTGCTGCTGATCTGTTTCATGTTGCTGCTGATCTGTTTCAATGTTGGTGTTCATGCGTGCACATCTGCTCACAGACTCATGTTCATGTTTGTGCTGATGTTCAATGTTTTATGTTATGAGAGCTTAGTGTATATTTAGTTGATGTTTTTCTTAGTTCATATCTTAGATGTTATCACTGTTTTTTTTATACATTTTATTTTTCGATGTAACTGGGACCCTGTGTACATAATTTCGCTCCACCACATGTACCACGAGGTGGAATGACAATAAAGCATCTCTGACATCTTTCCACCTTGGTGTTGTGTTAACACTCACCAAAGTGCTGCAGAGCAGCAGAACCTCCTGAAGAGGATCAGTTTATGAGCAGCTTCTGGCTGATGTTGGACCTCTGAGATCCTGTGGAACCAGTTTAGTTTCTGTTCAGTAAATACCGACTCGTGGTTCGATTCAGGCGACGTTAGATATGGATCCTGTTACAACCTGAAGACCGCGTGGGGTTCATTTTCTGTTTTTCCATTTAGCCTTTATTTATCCAGATTAGATGAGGTCTGACAAATCAAACGCACATCAGGTAAGTCCTGCTGGAAGACCGGTTCTGTAAACCTGTCTGCCTTCATCATAAACCAAAGCCAGAAGACCAGGTCAGACGGTTCAAGATCTACTGGACCTCCTGACTACCACACGTCTTCACCAGAACCTCAGGGAACTGGGTCAACTTGTGTAAAATATTAGCTTTAGGCAAATTAGTCTTTAACTTTACCAAAAATATGAAACTAAATATATTTAAACTTCAGTAAGGAGTGTTAAAATGTTTAAACATCAAAATGTTTTAAAGTTTTGTGTGTTGTTGTTTTGTAGTTGGTGCAAACACACGTCATTAACTTATAAAGGCGTCCTGTAGTTGCATGTTTAATTTATAAATGTGTTGAATTACTTGTCGCTTTTGCTTTTACTATCTGCACTAACAACTTGTCGGTTGTCCACCTCGGCCCGTTAGGTACCGCGCAGTCTGACCCGGTGTGAGCAGAACCTACTCTGAACCTGCAGGTCCATCTCCCTCATCTCCGTGAACCTGTCGCGGAGGTCCATGGGAAGCTGCTCGATCACTGCGGGACAGAACACAGCGTTAGCCTGTTAGCACCCACACGCTAACGGAGCACTAAACAACACGCATTACACGCACAGAACCCCCCTCCCCGCCCCGCAGCGGGCAGAACCGGGCCCGAACTCACTCTCCAGGTAGTCTTCTAGGTACAACATCCTGCCGTTTGTACAGTTTTCACCGTTTAACGGAACACTTTTCTTCTTTCAATATGGCGCCAACAACCCCTGCGTCGCTCAGAAAAACAACAAACTGAAAATAGAAGGCAGGGCAGCGTGACGTCAACGTCTTTCTGTGCTCTGATTGGTTGGAATTGAACGGCTTGCTTTTTCAGATGTATCATGGGGGTTGTAGTTTATGTGAGCAGTGACCGTTACACTGTACATTTTTTCATTCAAACTTTATTTCTGCAGGTTAGTCTCATTGAACCTCGAGGACTCATTTACAGGAGAGACCTGATCTTAACAAAGAGTGATGATGATGACAACAATAGACAAATGGAGGTTAGCACAAGGTCAACGATGCAATGAAATGTTCAGGATGAAAAGAACCGGTTTGTCTCGGTAAAAAAACAAAAGAAATACTAAAGCATGTAGTAAGGGTACAAAATGAAGTACCAAAAAGTGGAAAAAGAAATATAATATTTACAAAGTCCAAAAGAAATATAGCAAACAACAACATGGTAGAATATAAGTAAGTACGATGAATTAGTATAAATATTTCACAAGTAGTAATATTAGCTTAAATGCACATGATATATAATGCACATAACAAACACAGGTTGTGTGACAGGTTATTGCACAGGTAGTGAGTAACACTGAGCTTAATTATGATGGTAAGGTAATGACATGATACAGCCACATAGCAAACATATTAGGTGCCACAGATGTAGCTTAGTGCAATATTATATAATGAGGCCACATAGGAACAGAGGATCCAGGATCAATTCACCTCACAAGACCCACAGAGCATGTGGAGGGGCATTACAGATTATAAAGGCAGGAGTGAACAATGCCCTCAACAAGGTCTACGCACAGCACACTTTGAAGACCTGAAGAGACCACCCGGTGCCAGACTCACCACCAGATGAAGAGCTTCTCAGTGTGGCCTCAGCTGAAGTGAGGAGTTCTTTCAGGAGGATTAACCCTCACAAAGCAACCGGCCAAGACAACATCCCAAGTCCGTTGTGGTGAAGAGGGAGCTGAGCTTTAAGGCAAAGCTCTCTGTTCACCAGTCGGTCTACGTTCCTCCCCTCACCTCTGGTCACAAGCTCTCGGTAGAGACTGAAAGAATGAGATTGCGGATACAGGAGGTTGAAATGAGTTTCCTCTGCAGGGTAGCTGGACTCTCCCTTAGAGATAAGGTGAGAAGTTCAGTTATCAGGAGAGACTCAAAGTAGAACCGCTGCTCCTCCACATCCAGAGGAGCAGGTTGAGGTGGTTCAGGCATCTGGTAAGGATGCTCCCTGGGCGCCTCCCTAGGGAGGTGCTTCAGGCATGTCAGACTGGAGGATTCCCCAGAGAAGACCCAGGACATGCTATGTCTCTTTGTTGGTCTGGGAATGCCTTTGTTGACTCACTGTGGAGCCACTGTAAATTCCTGATAGGTGTGAAGATGACAGTAGCTGCTAAACAGGAGAGGTTTGGTGTTCTCCAGGACATTAACTGGTTAGAGCAGCAAGGTGAAGTTGTCTTCCCATTAAAGAACATGGAGACAGATATCCAGTTTAGGCTCATTTATTTGCTGTGTTTCTTCTGGTATTTACACACAGCAGTAAACCAGGAAGGTGAAAACAAGCTTGAACAACAAGGCTCCATCTGTGTCCAGAGAGAAAAACAAAACCTCCAACTGAGCTCTGCACTTTACACAGAGCGGTGCGTTCACTAGCGTTGGAACAGCCACGGTGCATTCAAAAGCATAGGAACTATTAAATTCAGAAAGAAACAAGTCATAACCAAACAGAACCTCAGTAAACAAGCTAACTACTCAACAATGTGAGCGTTCTAACAGCTGTGTTAATAAAGGTTAATAAAGGTTAATAAAGGTTGAATGAATATACTTCATTAGAATCAGACGTTTTAAAGAGCAATCTTTCATTGTTCAGTTCAAACTTTCCAAGTTTTTGTCACTGGATATTGCACCCAATAAATATTGTTTTGGAAATTCTAACTGTTCACTTTTACTTAATACTTTTACTTTGTGCTTTAGTTAGTTAGTTTATTTGACAGGGACAAACAGAACAGAACAAGTCTGAGACTGATGCGTTGCACAAAGAGTATATAGCTACAGCTAATTCACAACTCCAGTCCCTGGTTGGGTATTTCTATGCATTAAAATACAGTAAGAATACCTACGTACTCCTGCCTACATATTCATGTAATCAACCTAACAACCTCCAAATTCATATAATAAAAACTATACAATAAAATACAAACAATTTAAAAATCTAAATACAATAAAAATACTAAACATTTTCCTCTACAAATTCTAAAATAACCTTGCAACCCACAAATTTACATAAATATCACAGCACCTCCTCAACACCTCCACATCCTCACACATTCAGATAACATACTAAAAACTGTAAATATAATATTAAATCACTTCTAACTAATATAATATATAAATATTATATTATATAATTATATTATATATATATTATATAATTATATATAATATAATACTAACTCACTGTGTGTATATATATATATATATATATATA